GGGCTTCCTTGCACTCCCGCCGGCCTTGCAGGTCCACCGCCGGGCCCCTGATGTCAGGGGGTGTGGCATATGCTAATGAGTTATGCTAATGAGTTCCCCTAGCTCTTTTTTTACGAAATGACCCCTGCGTGTACCTCAAACTGCTTGACCTCTGAAGAAGGCCCCCAATAGGGCGGAAATGTGTCAGGTGGCTTGCACTGGCCCTTGTGTCCAGGCCGCTTGCACTTTCCAACGAAGCTTTCATCGGGGCCCTTACTTGTTTTTAACTGTCTTTCTAATAAATACATGTATTTCTGTATATTATAAGTTTACACTAGGTTTTTAATACTGGCCCTTTATCAGGCTTCTTTCCGCCCCCAAAGATCAAGGAATTGCCCAACCAGGAGTCAGCATCCCTGGTTCAAAATGCAGCCACAGAGTTAACTTCGTAGGCGTGCCTCTCTCCACCCTTTGCAAGACAACTAAGCAAAGCAGTGCGACGGTTTTTGCAGTCTCTGTCTCTCTCTGCTGGCAATCTGTGTCAATAACCGCTGCAGGATTTCCCCCCCACAAGATCTAGTTACTAAGTGCCAGAGGCTGGGGGGAGTGCAGAAATCGTCACCCCACCCCAGCTCAAAAAGATTCTCTTCTTTTATGGCTCTGGAAAACTGAATGATGCCATGGCCTCAGGTTCTGGGACGCAGGAGACTCAGTTTTAAGCCCTCATTTGGTCACCGGACTCCGTGGGAAGCCCAGGGCAAGCTCTTTTTCTCTGTGCCTACCTTGCAAGGCTGTTGGGAGGTCAAATAAAATGAGAATACGAAAGCATTTTGTAGCTAAAAAGAAATCAGGATAGGATAGAGCTATATGAGTCCTGATTCAGATCCAAATCCCCCGTAATCTTCAATTTGAGTCACTTCTTAAAAGATTTTCCCATGCCAAACTGGTGGGTTGCTACATCTAAATCCAGATCTGGGGTCTTCCCTTGCAGTGACAGAAATAAGTAACATTTTAACCTGTACTTTGGGGAGAATGCCTGCCGAGATGCACTGCTGCTCCAGGTAATAATAAACAGGTCTCATGGTTAACTGTGAACCCACAAAAGAGGTCAAGAATAAGACACTGTGGCTGAGAGCAAGTTTTGCACGTGAAAGGTTGCAATGTCAATCACTGCTGGGGCTGAATTATAAATTCCATTTTCTCATGTCGTCTCCAGGTCCTACTGATCAGCCTCCTATAATTTATCTTGTCCTTAGCAAAGAGTGAGCCATAATACATTTGTTGTTCTGTGTACTTCCCCCCCCCCCACTTTCTTTGTTTGTACCATAGTTAACTACTACCCCCTCACATGTTATGCTTACTCTGTATGTTGGTCTTAAGACCGTAATAATAATAATCAGGGGTCGTTTCGTAGAAAAAGAGCTAGGGGAACTCATTAGCATAACTCATTAGCATACGCCACACCCCCTGACATCACCAGAAGGGTGTCATAAGGCCACACACCCCGCCCCCAACGGTCCCGGACGCCTCTGGCGGCCTTGCAGTTCCACTGATGAGCCCCATGAGGGGTCCGGCGGTGGACCTGCAAGGCCGGCGGGAGTGCGAGGAAGCCCGGCGAAGGCCCTCCCTGGCCCCAGGCAGGCAGGGGTGGGGAGAGGCAGGGAGGAAGCAACCTACCCTCCCTCTTCTCCTGCCTCCTCCTGGCTGAATGAGGGCCGGAAGCGGGGTGGCCGGAAGCAGGGGGCGGGGCTTCGTCATGTGCCCCGCCCCCCGTACCTCACCCGGGGGAACTGCGACCCCCCGCGATCCCCCCGAAATGACCTCTGATAATAATAAAACTATAACTACTACCTGTGGCCGTGGAATTCCTGCATCAAATGGTATTCACCTGTTTTTATGCCTTCCATTGCACTGGGGATGGTTGAGTTCTGCTTTTCACTTTGCACTCAAACTGACTGCTCGTTATTTCTCTCTCTTTTTGTATTGCAACTTGGCAATATCAAGATTGTAAAAAAATAAAACTAAAGAGAAGGAAAGAAGTGGGTTTAGCAGCAAAGTGAAAAGCAGCCCACAACCCTTCCCCAAACCAACCCCAAAACTCCCAAGAACTGGTAATTAACAACTTACTCAGGAATACTCGGGCCAGTGGAAGAATAAGGATAAAGCGTGCCACTGAGACACACACCTGACTTACGGCAATGTTCCCTCTAATTTTCTTTCCCCTACTGGGTGGAGCAGTTCACATCCTGAGCAGAATATAACTGCCGTAGTCTTCAAGGGTACCCAAAAGAGAAAACCGTGATAACCTTACTAATTAACAATTCTTACAAATTCATTTTATATTTAAATGAACAGTGCATTACATATAAAATGTGAAAAATCATAACAGAATTATAATAGAATTGCATGGAAGAGTTACAGTCTTTGTTTCTTCATGAAGTTCAAAACCCCTAAAGGATTCAACAGTAGGAACTCAGTCCTTGTGTGCAGAGAGTTCATCAAACTTAGAGAGAAAACATTTCACGCCTCATTAGTGTATCCTCTCTGTTATAATTACTTGCATGCTGTATGTAATGCACTGTTCATTTAAACATAAAATAAATTTGTAAGAATTGTTAATTCGTAAGTTTATTATAGGGCTGCGGTGGCTCAAGTGGTTAAGACACTGAACTGCAGACCAAAAGGTCGGTAGTTCAGCAGTTCGAGACCCGAGTGCCGCATGACGGAGTGAGCTCCCGTCTCTGGCCTCAGCTCCTGCCAACCTAGCAGTTCGAAAGCAAGAAACTGCAAGTAGATAAATAGGTACCACTTTGGTGGGAAGGGAATAGCGTTCTGTGCTCCTCGGCGTCTAGTCATGCCGGCCACATAACCACGGAGAAGTCTTCGGACAGCGCTGGCTCTTCAGCTTGGAAATGGAGATGAGCACCGCATCCCTAGAGTCAGATTCGACTGGCTTTTGAGCAAGGGAAACCTTTACCTTTACCTAAGGTTATCATGGTGTTCTCTTTTGGTACCTATGTTTCTGAGATTCTCTCTCTTTGTTTGGGCAGTTGAAGAGATGGACAGAGGTGGTCAACTCTTGCCTTCTTCGGCATAGCAGCCCTGGTCTTCTTTGGCGGCTGCCCATCCAAGTTCCATCCCTGCCTAGCCTCTGAGCTCTGACGGGACCTGGCTAATCTGAGCGATCAGGGGTGCTACAGTGGAAGCGTCCAAGAAGGAAGTCATTAAGCTCGAAGCTGGCAGGGAAAAAAAATAGGAAAATGCAAAGTATTCTTGATAAACCTTTCTAGTACTTTAACTGTTCTCATTGGCACTGCGATGGCATGTGATGTTTTTTTAAAAAAACAGCCACAAATCAGATCCGGGTGGGGGGAAAGAGAGAGGACGATGATCAGGCCCACAGCCAGGAGAGTTTTTTCCGTTCAGGGGACATTTACGTTTTTAAGGGGGCAGTTAAATTACAGTTAATTAAATTATTCGGAATGCCTGTCTTCAAAGGGGCCTGTTTCTAGGCCTTCCTTTCAAGGGACAGGGCCGCGAGTGGGTCAGTTCCTAGGGAAAAACCACTCAGAGGGTTTTTAAATGCCTCCAGAAGGCATTTAGATGTCTTTTGAGTTCCCTTCCGCAGGGCAAGAAAGCGCAGAAGGGCATCTTCAATGCATCTCCAACAACCCCCCTTTCTGCTAGTCCAGTACCACTTAGGTCATGGCCAGGGGCCATTTCGTAGAAAAAGAGGTGCAGGAGCTCATTAGCATAACTCATTAGCATAACTCATTAGCATATGCCACACCCCCTGACATCACCGGAAGTGTGTCAGAAGGCAACACCCACCCCTCAGGCTCCACTGGACTGTTTTGGATTGCTAGCTAGTGGGGGGGGGGAACGTGCAGATCTGTCCTCGCAGAGGAGGGAGAGCTTGTACCTGAATGAAACTTGGTCTTAAAGGTGCCACTGGACTGTTTTGGACCGGGGACCGGGGGGGGTGGCTCTGCAGCTTACCTGGCTGCTTCTTGCTCTGACTGAGGGCTGCTGGGAGCAGGGCAGGGCTCTTTTTGTAGAAAAAGTCCAGCAGGAACTCATTAGCATAATAGGGCACACCCAACAGCAAAACCCATTAGCATAATAGGCCACACCATGACAGCACCGCTCATTAGCACATTAGGCCACACTGCCATGTTACCAGAAGTGTGGTCATCCAGCCACACTCACCTTTCCCTTATTCTGTTTACCTTGTTTGTTGTCAAACCAGGGCTTTTTTTGTAGCAGGAACTCCTTTGCATGTTAGGCCACACACCCCTAATGTAGCCAATCCTAATGAGTTTCTGCTGTTGGGGGTGGCCTATTATGCTAATGAGCTCCTGCTGGGCGTGGCCAACTCGTGAGCCAGCCGGAGCACCGTTCCTGTGTGTTCCTGCCCAAAAAGAGCCCTGGGTGGGGCTTGTTCCATGTGCCCGCCCCCCGGGCTATTTACTGCCGGAGCTCCGCTCCTGTGTGCTCCTGCAGAAAATAACCCCTGGTCATGGTCAAAAGTAAGGTTTGTGGGGCAGGGCTTTTAATTAGGGGGGCAGGGCCCTGAAATGCGCCACTGTAGCTACGGCCCTGAGGATGATGCAGAAAGACACCCGGGTGGGGGGGGAGACAGGCTGTTTCTGGGATGTCAGGCTTCTTTGTTAAACTTAAAGGACGGCCATTCCAGACTCAACAGCTATGGTGAAAGCAGACATTACCGGGCTAGATGTATCCACATAAGGCAGCTTGATATGGTCAAGAACCTTTATACAAGCAACACAGTAATCACTAATATTCACAGAGCGTGCTCCTGACAGCTGAAGGCTTTCTTGGCGGCCCCCCAGCAGATGGAGCACAAACTTCAACAATGAAAACACAACCGGGAGCAGAGCAGAAACCGCTACCCTCTACGCCTGAGTCGGAACAGCTGAAGGATCCCCTTCCAGTTCCTCTTCCCATCTCCCTTACCCTGTTCCCCTTCCTGAAGGAGGCCGAGAATTCCTCCCGAGCGGCTACTTCCCCAGTTGCATCTTCCCCAGGCTCTTCCGGGCCATGTGGTCCTCCATAAGCTTCCTGATCTCCACAAAGGTCTTCTTCTTGGTTTCTGGGACCATCCTGTAGATGTAAGCGTAGGTGGCCATGCAGATGAAGAGCAAGACGAGAAAGCTGTAGGGCTTGATATCAACCTGCGGACAAAAGAGAGAGAAGGATAAAAGACACAAAAGGACACCACGAACGTTCATGGATCATGGGTTCTTAGAATCATAGAGTTGGAAGGGATCTCCAGGGTCATCTAGTCCAACCCCCTGCACAATGCAGGACATTCACAAATTTCCCCCTCCACACCTGCGGTGACCGCTGTTCCACACCCAGAAGATGACAAACAAAAAAAAACACTCCAGGATCTCCAGCCAAACTGGCCTGGAGAAGAATTGCTTCCTGACCCCTAAGAGGCAAACAGCATTTCTCTGGGCGTGTAAGAAAGGGCCACAAGAACTAAGCACTGAGGCGACCCCTCCTACCCTCCTGTCTCATGATCTGCCTAAGTTCACAAGATGAGCATTGGTGTTAGATGGCCATCGAGCCTCTGCTTGAAAACCTCCAAAGAAGGAGAGCCCGCCACCTCCCGAGGAAGCCTGTTCCACTGAGGAACTGCTCTCACTGTCAGGAAGTTATTATTTATTATTATTATTATTATTTATTACTTTCAGTTTATATACCGCTCGAACCCCGAAGGGTCTCTGAGCGGTATACGATTTTTAATTTCCTACCTAGGGCCACATTCACTAGGGAAGTGTTTTTGCCTACCAACACCCAGGCAGCTCTTGTTGGCTCTTTCAAGCGGGCTACAGGTGTTCTTCTTATCAGAGATGTCCTCCAAGGAGCTCATGGTAGTCGATGGGGGTGCCGATTTATGTTTTGGAAGGGGAAGGGGGGAAAAACTGAACCTAAAAGTTAGAATCCAGAACCTGACAAAGGTTAGTCAAATGTAAGAAAGGGGGCCAATATTAAAAACTTAATGAAGGAAATATATAAAAATACATGTATTTATTAATCACAAATGTTAAAATTATATAAGGGCCCAATCACACGTTATGTATAAATAACAAACAATGAAACACAAGGGCTTATAAATCTGACCTGACGCGTTTCGGCCTACATAGGCCTTCCTCAGAGGTCAATACTGAGGAACATATTGGCTATTATAAAAATATAGCACAATCATGTAAATACAAAGTAAAAATTCAATAAGGACCAGAAGCAAGTTGTTTCAAGATAAACCACCCAGGCACAGAGTAAAAAATAAATGAGGCCTCTAAAAGTGCAATCACGTGCCGTGGTTCTCAGAAATAAACTTCTGGTCCAGGAATCGCCTTCCTATGGCTGTAGAGCCAAATTGTCCTCAAGCAGAGAGCAGTCCTTATGGAATGTATATAAATACATGTATTTTTATATATTTCCTTCATTAAGTTTTTAATATTGGCCCCCTTTCTTACATTTGACTAACCTTTGTCAGGTTCTTGATCCTCACCAACACTTTGAGCAGGACCGGTATCAGGGGTGGGCACAGCTGGGTCCTTGCTTGGGGGTCCCGCCTGGCTGAGGGCTCACCCCCAATGCAAATACGGAGTTGGTATTGATTACATGGTGGGAGAAGTGCTCGGAAGCAGGGCGCCAGGGGGACAAATGCTCCGTCTCAATGGCATCAGAGGCCCCCTGGGATACGCCCATGGTTCCTACTGTTTCCTTTTGACCTGCCAGAATTCTGAGGGGTCCAGAGGCACATTCTGTTCCCTCCAGCAGAGCCACAAGCAGAAGAGGGACTTGGCCACAATCAGGAAGGAAAATGGAGGTAGGAGGACATCCGCCGTGACTGGGGTGGGCGAGAGGGCATCTGTGACCTGTGACCAAAGGCCCATAAATGCCTGTCTCTCTGTACCAGACACTGGGAGGTAGGTCCAGTCTGGGGAAGGTTACATGAAGACGAAAAGAAGAGATTGGATTTATACCCCGCCCTTCGCTACCTGAAGAAGTCTCAGAGCGGCTTACAATCTCCTTTCCCTTCCCCTCCCCACAACAGGCACCCTGTGAGGCGGGTGGGGCTGAGAGAGCTCTTTCAAGAACTGCTCGTGAGAGAACAGCTCTGAGGGAACTTGTGACTGACCCAGGGTCACACCAGCAGCTGCGTGTGCAGGAGGAGTGGGGAATCAAACCTGGTTCTCCCAGATTAGAGTCTGCACTCCTAACCACTACACCAAACTGGCTTTGAAACCAGGAATGGAGCAGGTTTTCTTTGGCCCAGACTCTCTGCAGTGCGTTGCTGGAGCCAAAGAAAGTCTGTGAGTTCAGAATGCATTAGGCAGCAAAGTCCTGCTGCAGCGACCAGTCAGGAGCAAAACAACCTCCTGGGATATATACCAGGCCTGGCCAATCCAGAGGCTTCGTACTGCCAGCAATGCTTCCTCTACTACTGTGGAGTCATGGGAGCAAAAGTTCTACTTTGTGAGCCGCTGGCATTAAAGTTGTGAGTGAGCGATTTTGGCTGCTGCATAAATCAGTTTGCTCTGGAGCCCTCCTTCCTGAGCTAAGACAGAAACGCGTGAGCCGGAGACTAAAAAACTGGGAGCTAGCTCACACTACCGCAGCTTAGAGGGAACCCTGACTGGCAGCCATCTGATGCTGCCCAGTTGCGATTCGCTTCTGAGCTGGAAGAAGACCGTGGAGGCACACCCAAGACAATCTGCAAAAAGCCAACCGTCATATGAAGAAACAGCATGTCCAAAAAGAAGTGGGTGACCCAGTGCACGATTTCGCTAGTCATGAAGGCAGAGGCCCGGGACGACTGCAGGAACATCTCTGCGACCATCACTCTGGGAATGGGACCTGGGTGAAGACCGAGGAGTCCAGGGTTTGCACGACATGCGCCACAGCCGATCCATCTGCCCTGGGCTTCTCCTTGCGCACCCCCCCCCCCAAGCACCGAGGGCAACTTACTGGGCCCGACGGAGTGTCCGATCACATAGAGAATGACAAAAGCCGTGCTAAAGTAGCACATCCAGGGAATGGTGCTCTGTTGGGAGAAAAGTGGGTCACGGTTCCATCAAGGATGAGCAAGGCCCTTGGGCAAATCTTTTTTTTAAACGCTGCAGAGGAGGGACCAGAACTAAGGGGTTAGAGCACATGGTTTTGCATGCAGAAGTCCCAGGTTCCGTCTCCCATTCCAGGGATCTCAAAGACAAGCAGGTACTGGAAAAGACCATTCTCTGCCCAAGGCCCTGGAAACCGGCTGCTGGTCCAGAGGAGACCATACTGGCCTAGTGGTCTAATTCAGGAAGGAGGAGGAGGAGGAGGAGGAGATGACGCTTGGATTTGTACCTCGCCTTTCACTACCCGAAGGAGTCTTAGAGCGGCTTACAATCTCCTTTCCTCCCCACAACAAGCACCCTGTGAGCTGCGTGGGGCTGAGAGAGCTCTCTCGGGAATTGCCCTTGGGAGAACAGCTCTGAGAGAACTTGTGACTGACCCAAGGTCACACCTTGGTGGGTCGCTGTGTTGGTCTGAAGCAGCAGAACAGAGTTCGAGTCCAGGGGCACCTTTCAGACCAACAAAGTTTGATTCTGGGTATAAGCTTTCATGTACACGCACACTTCATTAGATACGTTGAAATGGAAGTTTATTCTACTGTTTCAGACCAACACAACTGACTACTTGGGTCTGTCTATCATCCAGGGTTTTTAAAGCAAGAGATGTTCAGAGGTGGTTTGCCATTGCCTGCCTCCTTTCAGGCATGGAATGGGGCAGAGGCAGAGGAAACCCTTGCCTCTAGGTTAGAACAAGGCCTGCCATTTTGAACCACAGACCTGAAGTTCCAGGGCCATGGCTAACAGAATGCAGCTGATGCCGCAGATCCCAAAGCCGGTGAGAAGCAGCGTCCTTCGCCCCGAAGAATCGACCACAAAAATCTAGAAGATACAAAGGCAGGGAGGTGAGGGACAGAGGCCGCCATGAGACAGTGTGCTGCAGTGCTTAGACTGGGGAGCTCCGCGTTCAAATCCTTGCTTGTCCAGGAAGCTAATGGGTTGGTTTGGGGCCAATGGCCTTCCCTCAGCCTAATCCACCCTCACAGGATTCTTGCAAGAATAAAATGTTGTGTGGGAGCACAGAAGTCCCATAGCTCCTTGGAGACAGGGCTGAATGAAGGCTGATAAGTTGACAGTAATGCCACATGAAAAAAAATATTTTAGGAGTAGGGGTATGTACTGTAGCTGCAGGTATGCCTGCAAAGCTCTAGGGATTCCCCAGATCTCTGTGGTCCTTACCATAGAGTTCCAGGGAATTCCTAGAGTGCTGGGGGTGACTTCTGGGGTTTTGCTAGAAGTGACCTCATAGAATCATAGAATGTTAGAGTTGGAAGGGACCTTGCAGGTCATCTAGTCCAACCCCCTGCACTCTGCAGGAGTATACTGAAAGATAGCCCTACAACATACCCGAAAGATGGTTGTCCAGCCTCCGCTTGAAAACGTCCAGCAAAGGAGCATCCACCACCTCCCGAGGCAGACTGTTCCACTGCTCAATCACTCTTACAGTTAGGAAGTTTCTCCTGATATTTAGCCGGTATCGACTCCCTTGTAATTTCCACCCATTCGATCTAGTCTTGCAATCCGGAGCAAGAGAGAATAGATCCTCCATCTGCTACATGACAGCCCTTCAAATATTTGAAGACTGCAATCATGTCCCCTCTAAGCCTTCTCTTTCCCAGGCTAAACATACCCAATTCTTTCAGCCTTTCCTCATAAGACTTGGATTCCAACCCTCTCACCATCCTGGTTGCCCTCTTCTGGAGCTTGTCAACATCCTTCCTAAAATGAGGTGCCCAAAACTGGACACAGGACTCCAGGTGGGGCCTGACCATAGCAGAATGATGCATGCAAAACTGTATTTTCAATTGTTCTGCCCCTGAAAGCTCCTGCTTTTGCAGGGGCAGGCTGGCAGCTTTACGGCATAGGTATACCATAGACAAGCTGTTGGTCATTCCCTTTTCCCCAGGGAGCTCTGGGAATTATGGTTCTGAGGGGGGACAGGTGGGTTGGGACGTTCCTCACAAAGTGTTCCCAGCACCGAGTTTTAATTCCCAGGAAACTTTGAGGGGAGCCCCGGCAGCCACATGGGCCTTGAGAGAGATTGAAAATGGGGGAGGAAAGAGAGGCAGGAGAAGTCTACCGTTATGGTGGTGATGAAGATGACGGTCGCGCTTATCATCACAGTGATGTACCTGACGTTGTCCTCTTGTACGCCTGTAGATCGGTAGATTACCTCTGCATAATAGTGTATCTGAAATCAGACCATAGCAAGGGAAATTCTTAGCGATGCGTAGCCAAAGGCTGTTGGGAAAGGAGAGTGAAGAACATTTTGATAGCCCTTCACCTTCACTACCCGGAAGATGAAGCAGTTCATCCCAGCTTCATTCTGAAATAATCTAATCCCAAACTCAGAAATTAAGCTTCAGAGCCACCATTTTACCCCCCACACACTCCTTCCACGTGAGGCCTTGTTTTGGCTATTCACAGAACAAGAGAATCTGTGGACTCAAATGCTACCTGCTTCTGTAGTTTGTCTCTTCTACAAAAAATCTGCCTTGAGGCTTGTGGACACAGCCAGTAATCCTTGGAGAACAATCTTGAATTCACATGCGCTTAATGTATGTCAACAAATTGGAGTCCAAAACAGAAACAAACTACAAGAGCCACAATTCCCCCTAAATGGGGACTGAATCCCTGGCATGTTAGGTTTCAGTTATTTTATTTATTAATTAAAACAATATATATCCTGCCTTTTTCTGTGGCTCAAAGATGTCTTACAATAGATAATCTTTCTATATAATAATTCTGTTTTGGTAGTGGCACTCTTCTGAACATTCCACATGCTCACAAATCAGTTGGCTCCCTGATCTGTCACTCAGAAGCTGTCCCTATCTACTGGCTGCGTTGCCTGAGTCTTGCCTCCAATATTTTAAACAGTTTGCTGTTCCTCTCCCCCCAATAGCCAGTCGGAACACAGAGGTCATTTGCATATGCGGCCTGATTGGCCTTTGCCGCTAACATTCTAAACAGTGTGTTGTTGCTGTTTGGAGTCACTGAATGTGTCCTGAGGTAAAATACATATCCCAATTTTCCCTTAAACGGTCACTAGAGTTGCCAAAATACATATCCCAATCTTCCCTTAAACAGTCACTGGAGTTGCCAATCTCCCTGTGGGGCCTGGAGATCTCCCAGAAATCACCGTGTTCCCCAGCCACAGCACATAATTTCCCCTACGGAAAATTTACAATGGGTGCTTTGGGCAGTGGACTCTATGGCATTATACCCTGCTGAAGTCCCTCCACACCCCAAACCCTGTGATTTCAGATGCCAAGTGACATTAGCAGGCCAATGACAATAGCAGGTGTGATATGCAGAGAGGTAGTAGGTGGAAATAAATCAGCATTGGTAATGAGACAGGAAACCTAGGTCTTGATTCATTCCAGGAGGATGCATTGTCTTGAGCTTCATTATCAGTTGCAATTCAGCAGTCTCTCTTTCTAATCTCCCTTTGCAATTCCTTTCTAAGATAACCGCTACTTTTAGGTCAGCGACTGAATGTCCTGGAAGGTTAAAATGTCCCCCCCCCCACTGGTTTTTGAATAAGTATTTATAAGTAATTATTGCCCACTCACAATAATGAACTTGATCTAATATGTTCTGGATCTCAGCTGGGTCCACATTGCTCTGAGCTCAACTGACTAAACTCTTGGGACTTTGCTTTCCTTACTGTGTTGAGACCAGAGAGATGTTGGCCAAGCGTCATGACGAAAATGGACAGAAGTTGCCACTGCTGGCTTCTGCAAAGGACCAGCTTGCACATGGACATCTGCTTCTCTGGCTTCTCAAAGTCGTCCTCCATTCTCAGCTCTTCTATCTCATCCTCCACTTCGTCCCGCTCTCTCAGCTTCTGCAAGGCTGGGCAGGGGGAGAGGAGAGAAGGATGTGAGAGGGAGGGACTGGGGTAAGTGAGGTGCTATTAGGATACTACACACAAACTGAAAAGAGGATAGCCCAGGCCAGCCCATTCTATCAGCAGCTTGAGCTCTGCTCCTTCTGCACATTCAAAACTCTGCCAATGGTTTGTACCTTTCCTTGCTTCCTCTTCATCTCCCTTTTGTATCAGTAGATACCTGGGACTTTCAGGGAAGCGGGGCAGCAGAAAGACCTGGAATAATGCCGGGATGCAGGTGAGGAACAACAAAATCGGCCAGTCTGCGGGAGAAGAGACAGTACACAGGCGGGCAGCAATGCAAGGCAATCTGTAATGGACCAAACACAGCCTGGGAATCCCACATACCTCTCCTGGTTCCAAGGACGACATGGAGACCGAGGGCCTGGGCAACCAAGACGCCAAAGGTGATGAAGAAATGGGACACCACAATTACGCCTCCTCTCAGGTTGTGCGGGGACATCTCGCCGAGGTACATGGGGACGACACTGCAGGCGATGCCTGGTTAATCAAAGGATGATTCACAATGCGCATACAGCTGATGGCACGCTCAGAAATATCTCTGGGCATCTTCAGAGGAGGCCCAGGGGACGAGGAGGTTCACGGTTTGTCATCTGAACAAAGCCTCCTGCAGGCTTCCCCCCTGGAGACAAGTGAAACCGGTGACAGCTCACGCTTGGGCCTTCTCAGCTGCAGCTCCCATCCCAGGTGGGATGATTTGCCAGAGGAAGTCAGAAAGACCCCGTTCTCCAGTCCTTCAGCAGACTATGCTAGATACCCTGTTTCCCCGAAAGTAAGACATCCCCCCAAAATAAGACCTACTTACAGTTTTGCCTCTCGCTGAAATATAAGACATCCCCCGATAATAAGGCCCCCCGAAGCTACTGTAACTCTAAACTCTGGGCCGTAGCGGCGGGCACCACCGCGCAGCTCACTGTTGGCCGCCGCGCAACCGGAGCAGACAGGAAGTGCGAGGTCTCTTTTAATCAGAGAGCCCGCGCCGCCACCAGGACAAGCTGCCGCCTGCTGCTCGCTCTGCCCTGACGGAGTGTACCGTATTCTTCTTTATGGAAAAATAAGACATCCCCTGAAAATAAGACCTAGCGCATCTTTGGGAGCAAAAATTAATATAAGACACTGTCTTATTTTCGGGGAAACAGGGTAGAACTTTTTAGGGAGGGACCCCCCTTTTTTTTTGCCTGTTGGCTTGCTGCTATTTTATCACCTTGTTTCAGTGGTGGAAAGTGGAATCAAGTCGCAGCTGATTTATGATGACCTCTGGTGTGGTTTTCAAGGCAAGAGTCGAGCAGAGGTGGCTGTGCCCTTGCCTGCCTCTGTGCAGCAGCCCTGGTCTCCCTGGGTGGTCTCCCATCCAAGTTCTAACCAGGGCTGGCCCTGCTCAGCTTCCAAGATCTGATGAGATCCGGTAGTCTGGGCCATCTAGCTCAGAGCCCTCCGGTCTTACAAATTCTTGTTTATTAGCTATACACCTTTCATTTATTGGTTTTAAAGATTCTCCTTTCATTGTTGCCGAGTGGTTTTAAAATATCTTTGTGACCTGCCTAAAAACCTCATTGGGTTTTCAGAAAGATGGAATATAAGGGCTGTCAACAGTCCCAGGAAATGGAGGAGGAGGAGGAGGAGAAGAGGAGGAAGAGGAGGAAGAGGAGAAGATGGAGAAGAAGAAGAAGAAGAAGAAGAAGAAGAAGAAGAGGAGGAGGAGGAGGAGAGTCCCAGGAAATGGAGGAGGAGGAGGAGGAGGGGGAGGAGATTGGATTTCTACCCCACCCTTCACTTGAAGTCTCAGAGCGGCTTACAAACTCCTTTCCCTTCCCCTCCCCACAACAGGGACCCTGTGAGGTAGGCGGGGCTGAGAGAGCTCTGAGAGAACTGCTCTTGCGAGAACAGCTCTGAAAGAACTGTGGCTTGCCCAAGGTCACCCAGCAGCTGTATGTGGAGGAGTGGGGAATCAAACCTGGTCCTCCCAGATTACAGTCTGTGCGCTCCTAACCACTACATCAGAATGCCTCACGAGGCTTCCACAGAGGACCATTCTAACTCTCCCATCCCTGCTGCAGCTGTGTATGACGCTCCTGGGTGAGAATGTATGGAGATACAGACATGGCTTTTTTTTGTTTTGCCTTGTCTTGCCTCTGGCTGGAGAGGAATGGCTTAGGGGAAGGGAGGGGAAGTACTTGACGCCCAGATGATCCTCAAGCCTCTCCAGTTAAAAGGTTTCAAGGCCTCAGCCCTGCTGACAAAGGGCAGGCAATAAGGAGTTAAGGGCCTTTGTTCTCAAGGAAGTTGGTCTATATGAGCTCAGGGCTGATGGGTCTTTCCCCAGTTTAGGTATATAAATATCATTCTGGTGCCATTCCATGAGTCCGGACTGGTGCCCAGTCTGTAAACACTCACTGGAGGTGATCAATCAAGGGATGTAAGTACTAGGGGAATTGTGATTTTTCAGATTCCCGACAACTCTATTTTTCCTTGGATTGTAATTGTTCGATTCAAGTTTGGCACTTTTATCCCTGCAGTTCACCCCACCAGAGAATCCACCCACCGTTCTGGAATCAGCGCGCCTCTTTGGTAGCGGGGAACGCAGGGCGAAAGCTTCAGAACGAAGTGTTCATAATATGCTCCTCCATTCATCAGAAGTACCGCTTCTTTGGGTCATATGGGCCCCGTTTCAGTGGCCCTACTCAGGGCTGGAAGCCGTCAGCAAGGGGGAAAGAGTGCATCTGAGGTCGTGTAGATCTCTCCACTGTCCACCCATCTTGGATCATGAGACCGGGCTCCCAGGACCCTGGCTCACCTGCGGATATTCCAATGACCAAGCGTGCGAAGATGATCAGTTCGTAGCAATGCACCACTTTGGAGCAACCGAAGAGGACACCAGCGACTACGGAAAAAAAGTTATTTACCAGCAAGATGTATTTCCTGAAACGACAGTGGGAAAAAAACAGGAGCAGCAGGAGATGCAATGCTGGTGAACATATGGCCATGCAAAACGAACAGGTGTGGGACAGTGTGGGAGGAAAAACGATGGAGAAGTAAAGAGAAGAACTCTGGTCTCCGCTGCCAGCTAAGGGCCACTGGGAGATTGCACCTATTCCCCCCCAAGGGAGATTGGCCTGACCTCACTGATTATTTGGTCCAGCTATAAGTCACAAAGCCTTCTTCTTGAAGCGTTCCTTTGAGCAAAAAGGAAAAAGAGAAAGGGCATGAGGTGGGCCTAGTCTGCAACTTGTGGCCACTGAAAGATGGTCATTGGGGAAGCTGTCTGCAAAGTAATGCGGTTAGTTCGCATCCGGGGCAAAGGGTCACGAAGTTTCACCTCCCAGGAATATAAAAAGAAGAGAAGAAGACATTGGATTTAAACCCCGCCCTTCAGTCGGAGTCTCAGACTGGCTTACGATCTCCTTTCCCTTCCCCTCTACACAACAGACACCCTGTGAGGTAGGTGGGGCTGAGAGAGCTCCTTGGAAGACTGCCCTTGAGAGAACAGCTCTGAGAGAACTTGTGACTGACCCAAGGTCACACCAGCAGCTGCATGTGGAAGAGTGGGGAATCAAACCTGGCTCTCGCAGATTAGAATCTGCGCTCCTAACCACTACACCAAACTGGCTCTCAGGTCCTTCACATCATCTCCTGCCTGACCCTTTTAACCTGAGACAGCTCTGACAGAACTATGGCTTGCTCAAGGTCATCCAGCAGCTGTGTGTGGAGGAGTGGGAATCAAACCCGGTTCTCCCAGATGCATTTAACCACTACACCAAACTGGCTCTCACACCAAACTGGCAAAAAGAAGCAATGGCCTCTTTGGAAATCTAAAAGCCAGCAGTTATTCCAATTGGTCTCCTCTGCTAATCACAAGTAATGCTCCCTTTAAGCTGTGTCTTGTGAGCAAAAATCCTACTTTGTGTGCTAGTGGCATTAAAGTTGTGAGTGAGCCATTTGGCTACTGCATCAATTAGTCTGCTCTGGAGCCCTCCTTCCTGAGCTAAGACAAAAAGGTGCGAGCCAGAGGCTAAAAAATTGTGAGCTCACTCACACTCACTCATCTTAGAGGGAACATTGATCACAACCACTGTAATCCTTCTTTCTTTCATGATCCAATGACCCAGCGATCTTGGACAGAACTAAGCTTACAAACACCACCCTCTGTTTTCCTCCTTGCAGAGACAGCTGCCAGGATTGTGGCCACAGCCAAAGTAATACCAGGATCAGTATCAGCTTGCAAGGAAGGCATAGAAAGAAGGGAAGTCCTGGAAACTGTCATGGGCAGGATCCAGAGATCTCTCAAAGGGGCTAATCAGAATTTAGGAGGCCCTAGAGAAGGGATTTTTTAAAAAAAATCTGGCCTATTCGAAAAGATGACACTCAAGGACAGAGCAGATTTAAATGCAACATGAAGCACTTGCCTGTGTCGTTCTGCACACAAACACCCGTCGTCTCATTTAAACTGGGTCCTGAGCCGCTGCATGGGCTCAACAGAGATCCACACGGCCCGAGTGTGTTATGCTATCAATGCACATGTTGCTGCCGAGGTCCCAGTTTTAAGTGAGACAACGAGGTAGATAATCCACACAAGGCCAGTTGGGTCGTCATGGTGGGACGATGTTCCTCCTTCCCTTGACAAAGTCCCATCATTCTATCGGTAGGAAATTATCTTCCTGCAGTCTCGTTTTACCAACCACCAAGCGCGGCCTGGAGATTTCCTGAAATCACAACTGATCTCCAGACCACACAGACCAGTTTCCCTGGAGGAAACGGCAGGTCTGGAAGGTGGACTCTATGGCATGATACCCTGTTTGGTGTCGTGGTTAAGTAAAAAGGAAAAGGTCTCCCTTGCTCGACAGCCAGTTGAATCCGACTCTAGGGCTGCGGTGCTCATCTCCGTTTCCAAGCCGAAGAGCCCGCGCTGTCCGAAGACGTTTCCACAGTCATGTGGCCGGCACAACTAGACACCAAGGCGCACGGAACGCTGTGACCTTCCCACCGAAGTGGTACCTATTTATCTACTTGCAATTTCTTGCTTTCGAACTGCTAGGTTGGCAGGAGCTGGAACTAGAGACGGGAGCTCACTCCGTCATGCGGCACCCAGGTCTTGAACTGCTGAACTACTGACCTTCCACTCTGATCTGGGAGAACCGGGTTTGATTCCCCACTCCTCCCCTTGCAGCTGCTGGATGACCTTGGGCAAGCCATAGTTCTGTCAGAGCTGTTCTTGAAAAAGAGCCATTTCTGTCAGAGCTCTCTCAGCCCCACCTACCTCACAGTGTGTCTGTTGTGGGGAGGGGAAAGGAAGGAAGTTTGTAAGCTGCTCTGAGACTCCAAATGAAGGGTGGGGTATAAATCCAATCTCTTCTTCTTCTTCTTCTTCTGTTGAGTTCCCTCCCCCCTCTCCAAACCCCGCCTTCCTTGGGCTCCGCCTCCAAATCTCCAGGAGTTTCCGAACCCAAAGCTGGGAACCCTAGTTCAGACCCAGGAAGTTAGGGATCTAACGGGGCTCACAGTTTCCACAAACCGGCCCCAAATCACTGAATACCACTCAACAGGATATGACATGGTTGGTTTGCTAGATGTTACCGCAGAGGTGTGAGTTAGCCCCAGCCCTTTTCCCAACAGCGTCTAATGAGGCGCTCGGTCGCCCCCCTGTTAATCTCAGTACCTGCCACAATGATCCGCCAGGGGCCGAGCCCACAGGGTCCCAACCAGGCCTCCGACGGGGAAGAACGTAACCGTGAGCCCCCACAGGAACAGGAGCAGGCCTTGGTCCATGTTGATGTTATTCCTCCTGCGATACGTCTGGTTGTAAAACTCTTGCATCAACTAGGAGAGAAGAGCGGCGCTTTGGGGAGGCAGGGCCTTTCCACACGCTCAAGGAGGCAGACCCCAGGGTCGAACCCAAAGTCAGCCGGTTGGCTGCCAATCCTGGCCCCTGCTCCTCAGGGCTGGCTTACCTGAGCTGGGTAGTTGAGGACGACGAGATTGTAGCCATAATGGAAAGAAGATCCAAAGGCCGAGACCAGCGTGACCTGGGTGAGCGTCTTGGTCAGCTCCTAAGGGAAAGAGCGGCAGACAGAGGCCTGAGCATATCGAGTGAAGCCTCCGTAAATATTTACAAGATACACTTGTAATCCGAGCCACGATTAGCCTCTCCCCCAAATCTGCAGCTCCTTTGCTCTTCTTCAGGAGCTGGTGCATCATCCTGGCTGAGACAACAAGCTGCTATCTGGGAGGTTACTGGTTCGAATCTCGCCTCTGCCACTTGAGGCGAGAGGCGGGCAGCCTCCAATTTACTGTATGGCTGACCTATCTTATAGGGGCCCTGACTGGATAGCCCAGGCTGGTCCGATCTCGTTAGATTTTGGATGCTAAGCAGGATTAAAAAGGTAAAGGTTCCCTTGCTCAAAAGCCAGTCGAATCCGACTCTAGGGTTGCGGTACTAATCTCCGTTTCCAAGCCGAAGAGCCAGCGCTGTCCGAAGACGTTTCCGTGGTCATGTGGCCGGCATGACTAAACACCAAGGCGCATGGGACGCTGTGACCTTCCCACCGAAGCGGTACCTATTTATCTACTTGCAGTTTCTTGCTTTCGAACTGCGAGGTTGGCAGGAGCTGGAACTAGAGACGGGAGCTCACTCCATCATGCAGCACACTCGGGTCTCGAACTGCTGAACTACCGACCTTCCACAGCCTGCAGTTCAGCGTCTTAACCACTTGAGCCACCGCAGCAGGATTGGACCTGGTTAATTCTTGGAAGGGAAGACCACCAAGGAAGTCCGATCCCATCAGATCTTGGCAGCTTGGAAGCTAAGCAGGGTCTGCTTAGAGGCAGGCAGAGGTAAACCACCTCTGCTCATCTCTCGCCTTGAAAACCCAACAGGGTTGCCGCGATGCAGCTGCGACGTGACGACCCTTCCCCCCTCCACCTTCTGGGGCTTTTCCAACGATTACTGTGGCAATATAACATAACTGCTTTGAACGCTCTATAACTGCGATGCCAACGCAGCCTTCTCCTTCACCCCATCTTTTGTGGCTGCCTTCCTTTCCACATCCCCAGAGCAATCCTCCCGTTTCCTGTTGGATGAAGGAGGGCAAGGCTGCCTGTGCTGTGTTTTAACGGCCACTGCCAGATACTCCCATATCGGGAGATGGCCCAAATATTGGCAACCAGCCTTCACTCCAATCAGCCTTATCCATTGGGGAGGGGCCGTGGCTCAACGGCAGAACATCTACTTCGCGTGAAGGCCCCCGGTTCAATCTCCGGCATCTCCAGTTGAAAGCATCAGGCAGCCAGTGATGCGAGAGACCCCTGCCTGAGACCCGGGAGAGCGGCTGCCAGTCTGAGCAGACAATACCGACTTGGATGGACCAATGGCCTGATTCAGTACAAGGCAGCTTCATGTGTTCATATCGATTTGGATTGTCAACAATTCAGAATCATGGCAGAATGGCCACGCCTCCCAAACTCACCGGTTCCTTGGGTATGCCGTCTGCCATTCGCTTGTTTGTGGGGTGGCTCAAGGGTCAGAAACCAGGCCAAACTGTGGGAGAGCAAGAAGGGGACCTTGCCCTAAGGTAGTCGACTTTGCTTTCCTAAAAACAGAAGGGTTGTATCACCGGATCAGAATAAGGTCCATTTATTCCAGGCGCTGTCAACTAGACGCCCCCGGGAACATTCACAAGCAGGACATAAAGATAGCATGAAAACAGAACTTGCCCCCAGCAGCTGGTATTTGGAGGCATACTGCCTCTGAACATGGAGGTTCCATTTAGCCAGCTTGGTTAATAGGTGTCAATAGACAGATAGGCTCCATATATGGGTCTAACCCCATTTTACGATAGCTGGGGGTAACATTCGAGGGAGGGAAGCGCTTTAGATTTCCGATGTGCCCTTTTGAATGGGGCTGTTACTCAAGAGAAACGAAAAACTGGCTCAGAAGCGGGGGGGGGGGGGAGGAAGGCTCTCCGTTGGCACCTGCCCTACCTGTGTTTTAGAAGACGACTTCTGGGATGAACAGCCAAAATGGCTCCAAACTGTACAGATGAGGAGACAATCCAAACCAAGTTCTTTTTCTCCTTGAAGAAAATCCCTTGGAAGATTCTTGGCATTGTGACGCCCAATCAGGTGTCCGAAGATTCCGGTGGAAGCTGTTGGCAGTTAGAAGCTGAGCCGCTGTCAATCCAAATCGTCACAGTAATTAGAGCTGCGGTGGCTCAAGTGGTTAAGACGCTCAACTGCAGGCTGGAAGGTCGGTAGTTCAGCAGTTCGAGACCAGAGTGCCGTGTGATGGAGTGAGCGCCCGTCTCTGGTTCCAGCTCTTGGTAACCTAGCAGTTCGAAAGCAAGAAATGGCAAGTAGATAAATAGGTACCACTTCGGTGGGAAGGTAACAGCGTTCCGTGCGCCTTGGCGTCTAGTCATGCTGGCCACATGACCACGGAAATGTCTCCGGACAGCGCTGGCTCTGGACAGCAGTCAACATCCTGAGCAGAATATAACTGCCGTAGTCTTCAAGGGTACCCAAAAGAGAAAACCGTGATAACCTTACTAATTAACAATTCTTACAAATTCATTTTATATTTAAATGAACAGTGCCTTACATATAAAATGTGAAAAATCATAACAGCATTATAATAGAATTGCATGGAAGAGTTACAATCTTTGTTTCTTCATGAAGTTCAAAACCCTTAAAGGATTCAACAGTAGGAACTCAGTCCTTATGTGCAGAGAGTTAATCAAACGGGAAGAGTCTTCTTAGAGAGGAAAACATTTCACGCCTCATTAGTGTATCCTTTCTATTATAATGACTTGCATGCTATATGTAATGTACTGTTCATTTAAACATAAAATGAATTTGTAAGAATTGTTATTTAGTAAGGGTATCATAGGGCTGCGGTGGCTCAAGTGGTTAAGACGCTGAACTGCAGACCAAAAGGTCGGTCGTTCAGCAGTTCAAGACCCGAGTGTGCCGCATGACGGAGTGAGCTCCCGTCTCTGGCCCCAGCTCCTGCCAGCCTAGCAGTTCGAAAGCAAGAAATTGCTAGTAGATAAATAGGTATTGCTTCGGTGGGAAGGTAACAGCGTTCCGTGTGCCATGTCGTCTAGTCATGCTGGCCACATGACCACGGAAATGTCTCAGGACAGCGCAGGCTCTTCGGCTTGGAAACGGAGATGAGCACTGTAACCCTAGAGTCGGATTCGACTGGCTTTCGAGCAAGGGAAACCTTTGAATTCCTCATCCCTGTTTTTTTTTTTGCCATCAAGTCACAGCTGACTTATGGCGACTCTGTGGGGTTTTCAAGGCAAGAGATGCTCAGAGGTGGTTTGCTATTGCATTCCTCTGTGTCACAACCCTGGTATTCCTTGATGGTTTTCCACCCAAATAGTAGCCTGGGCCAACCCCTCTTAGTTCTGATGAGCCTGGGCTACCCTGGGCTATCCAGGTCAGGGCTACACCTGCTGTTACCACTTGAAAACCCCCTGGTTCAATTCCACTTCTCCCATCTGCGAACCATTTCGGTTTCCTTATTTTTGTGCTGTTTTTCTTTTTCCTTGCATTGAGTTTTTTGCATGAAATGCGTGCATCTTCCCCCCATTACGTGTAGATTTTACGTGAAAATGATGCTAGTTGTAGGCATAAATAGTATAGAAAAACTGTATAATGCTGAATACAATGCAATGCGAAAAGATAAAGAAATGAAATAGGGGGTGTTCTGCCATCTCCAAAGCTAACTGAATGAAGATTAATCTTGGATTTAAAACAGGGTTGGGGTGGCGTGGCGATCAAGAGAAGGATGAACCACACATCCCAACTCAGATTTCAACTTTGCCCTGAATTTTCACATGGCCTTCTTCTGTGAGCCACACTCAGCCTAAGTCCCCACCACCAGCATCAGGATAATAAAACTTCTCTGCTTTCCAGGGCTGCTGTAAGGATTGTATCAATAGGGTGTATATACTACATAAATCTAAATGCTGTATTTCTCTTTAAGAACATAAGAACATAAGAGACGCCAATGTTGGATCAGGCCAAAGGCCCATCCAGTCCAACACTCTGTGTCACACAGTGGCCAGAAATACCAGTGCCATCAGGAGGTCCAGCAGTGGGGCCAGGACATTAGAAGCCCTCCCACTGTTGACCCCCCCCCAAGCACCAAGAAGACAGAGCATCACTTGCCCCAGAGCCCCTAGCTATACCTTGTGGCTAATAGCCACTGATGGACCTCTGCTCCATATGCTTATCTAATTCCCTTTTGAAGCCGTCCATGCTTGTAGCACCCACCACTTCCTGTGGCAGTGAATTCCATGTGTTAATCACTCTTTGGGTGAAGAAGTACTTCCTTTTATCCGTTCTAACCCGACCGCTCTGCAGTTTCATGGAGTGCCCACGAGTTCTTGTATTGTGAGAAAGGGAGAAAAGTACCTCTTTCTTTACCTGCTCTTTCCCATGCATAATCTTATAAACCTCGATCATGTCACCCCTCAGTCGTCTTTTCTCCAAGCTAAAGAGCCCTAAGCGCTTTAACCTTTCCTCATAGGGAAAGTGTTCCAACCCTTTTATCATTCGAGTTGCCCTTTTCTGCACTTTTTCCAAAGCTATAATATCCTTTTTAAGGTGTGGTGCCCAGAACTGCACACAGTATTCCAAATGAGGTCTCACCATTGATTTATATAGGGGCATTATTATATTGGCTGATCTGTTTTCAATACCCTTCCTAATAATCCCCAGCATAGCATTGGCCTTCTTTATTGCAGTCACACACTGTCTCGACATTTTCAGTGAGTTATCCACTACAACTCCAAGATCTCTCTCTTGCTCAGTCTCTGCCAGTTCAGACCCCATCAATGTGTATTTATATTTAGGATTTTTGGCTCCAATGTGCATCACCTTGCACTTGGCCACATTGAACCCCATTTGCCATGTTGACGCCCACTCGCCCATCCTTGACAGATCCCCTTGGAGTGCCTCACAATCCTCACTGGTTTTCACCACCCTGAACAACTTTGTATCATCCGCAAATTTAGCCACTTCACTGCTTACTCCCATCTCCAAATCATTAATGAACAAGTTAAAAAGCAGTGGACCAAGTACTGATCCCTGCGGTACCCCACTGCTTACCACCCTCCACTGAGAAAATTGCCCACCTACACTCACTCTCTGTTTTCTATGAACTAGCCAGTTTTTGATCCATAAAAGGACTTGTCCTTCTATCCCATGATTTTTGAGCTTACTTAGGAGCCTTTGATGAGGAACTTTATCAAAAGCTTTCTGGAAGTCAAGGTAAATAATATCTATTGGATCCCCCTTGTCCACATGTTTGTTCACCCCCTCAAAGAACACTAACAGGTTAGTGAGACAAGATCTTCCCTTACAGAAACCGTGCTGAGTCTGCCTCAATAGGTTTTGTTCATCTATGTGCCTACTAATTCTTTCCTTAATAATGGTTTCCACCAATTTACCCGGTATCGACGTCAGACTGACTGGCCTGTAATTTCCCGGATCTCCTCTGGAACCCTTTTTAAAGATGGGAGTGACATTAGCTACCTTCCAATCCTCAGGAATGGAGGCAGATTTTAAGGAAAGATTACATATCTTTGTCAGGAGATCTACAAGTTCACATTTGAGTTCTTTCAGAACTCTCGGATGTATGCCATCTGGGCCTGGTGATTTTTCAGTTTTTAAGTTGTCTATCAGTTTTAGGACCTCCTCTCTCATCACCTCAATCTGACTCAGGTCTTCCAACACCCCTCCTGAAATCAGTGGTTCTGGAGTGGGCAAGCACTTCTCATCTTCCACAGTGAAGACGGAGGCAAAAAATGCATTTAGCTTCTCAGCCATTTCCCTATCATCCTTCAATACTCCTTTTACCCCTTGGTCGTCCAAGGGCCCCACTGCCTCCCTGGCTGGTTTCCTGTTTCTAATGTATTTGAAGAAAGTTTTATTGTTGGTTTTTACGTTTTTTGCTATATGCTCCTCATATTCCCTTTTTGCCTGCCTGACCTCAGACTTGCATTTTATTTGCCATAGCCTGTGTTCCGTTTTATCAGCCTCACTGTGACTAGCTTTCCACTGCTTAAAGGAATTCTTTTTACTTTTTACAGCCTCCATTACTCTGTTTGTTAACCATGCAGGCTTTTTCCTATACCTGTTTGTGCCTTTCTTTAACCTCCTCCTGGGTTTAATTTGAATCCAGAAGTTTGCAAAATGATAACAAGACAGGAGTGCCTCTGAGCATGCATAGAATTCACTTCTCTCACCACAGAATGACCCTAGTTCAAATTTCTATTAAGGACCCAAGTGTGGTTGTCAAGAAGCAGTTTCAAAAGATACCTGAGCCAATGGGCAGCATACAAATGTGATTCGGGGGGGGGGGTCATCATGTTGGTCTGAAGCAACAGAATAAAGTTCGAGTCCTGTGGCACCTGTAAGACCAAGAGCTTTTAATTCTGGGTATAAGCTTTTGTGGGCATGCACATTTCATCTGGACTTCACTGCGACAAAAAAATGGGAGGGTGGGAGGGGGAAATAAAAATGTTTGGTCATACATAACCAACATTCTTTATGGTGCCACAACATTATAATCACAACATTAAAAATTTTTAGTAAAAAACCCCCCAAAGGCATAAAACATGGACACCTCTGCAGAATTTTAATGTGTCACCATAAGAAGAAGAAGGAGAGGAGATTGGATTTATACCCCGCCCTTCACTACCCAAAGGTGTCTCAGAGCGGCTTACAAACTCCTTTCCCTTCCCCTCCCCACAACAGACACCCTGTGAGCATTGTTCCCTCTAAGCTGAGTTAGTGTGAGCTAGCTCACAGTTTTTTAGCCTCCGGCTCACACATTTGTGTCTTAGCTCAGGAAGGATGATTCCAGAGCAAACAAAGTTATTCAGTAGCTAATTCAACTGCTCACAACTTTAATGCCGGTAGCTCACAAAGTAGAATTTTTGCTCACAGGACTCCACAGCTTACAGGGAACATTGCCTGTGAGGTGGGTGGGGCTGAGAGAACTCTGACACAAACTGCTCTTTTTCCAGGACAGCTGTGCCAGAGCTTGCGACTGACCCAAGGTCACATCAGCAGGTGCAAGTGGAGGAGTGGGGAATCAAACCCGGTTCTCCCAGATTAGGGTCCGCACACTTAACCACTACACCAAACTGGCTCTTAAACATGATGACGTTTTAAACCCAAATACTTCTCCCTATATTTATACCAGCCATCATGTATCCTGCAGGAAGGGGGGATGGAAAGATAATAAATAAAATAATTCCTCTGCAGGCTGTCCTTCTCACTCTTTCAAAATGCTTAAGAACATCAGAAGAGCCCTGCTGGATCAGACCAGTGGTCCATCTAGTTCAGCATCCTGTCTGACACAGTGGCCAACCAGTTCCTCTGGAGGGCCAACAACAGGGCAGAGAGTCCGAGGCCTTCCCCTGGTAAGACCATCGGGCTGGATCAGACCGGTGAGGGTCCATCTAGTCCAGCATCCTGTCTCCCAATGCGGCCAAACAGCACCTTCTGGAGGACCAGCAACAGTGAACAGAAGTCGAGGCCTTCCCCTGCTGTTGCTTCCTGGCCCTGGGTTCAGAGGTTGACTGCCTCTGAACATGCAGGTTCCCCTTTAGTCACCAGGGCTAGTAACCACTGATAGATCTGAGTTCTATAAATCTGTCTAATCCCCTTTTAAAACTGTCTACGCCTGTGACCACCACTATATCCTCCAACAGCGAATTCTACATTTTGGTCACCTGCTTGTTTTCACGGAAGATGAAGAAACACAGACACACGTCTTTGATCACCAAAATGATAGCAGTTTTATTATTTATTTTTTTAAAAAACCCAAGAAAAAACAAAAGTACAAACTTGTAAGGATGAGTCAGAATTAGCCTCATTGTCCGGATTTTGAAAATATATATTTTTAAAAAAACACACATGCATACAAATAGTTTATAATATTAGAAACGGGTTGGAGAGTTCTAATGTTTTCACAGCATTCTTTCCTCATTTCTGCGGAAAGGTACTTTGTTCACACACATACGATATAACGGTAAACCTCAGAACAGACACCCGGACTGCCTTTCCAATATACCACCTCTCCCACGTGAATACCTGAAGCGGTACAGGCCCACAACGTGAGGGCTATACCACTTCATTAATTCGTACTGCATTCAGCCCTGTAGCCACAGCACTGTCCGCCACTTCAAAAAAGCTTCGTTAGAGAATCTTCTGAATAAAGCAATGACATTAGACAAAATAGTTAATGCATGTTTTTTAAAAATCTCAAAACGATGCCATTTCGGAGCCACTGAATCCCTTATAAATCTTCAAAAAAATTCACACTTCTGCATTCCCGTATGCTCCTAAGATGCCCTTCCCAAAAATATAACTCCTGCACCCCAAGTTTCTTTTTAAAAAAACCCACAAAACCTAGCAAACAACCCAAACCCTTTTAATTAAAATTGGAAGCTGGAACCGGTATGATAGCCCTCTTCCAAGAAGCCTGAGAAATAAGAAGCGTGCTGTCCAACTGGATTCCCAGAGAGGTCTCCTCACAATATCATTGCTACTGTCTGTGAAGGGTCTCAAGGCGTTGCTGGTTCTTCGGAGGTAGCTAGATCCCACTGTGGGCACGCCATGACATTTCTGGTACCTGCCTAAAACAGAAGACAAACAACAGAGGCAGTGAAAAGATTGCTTTTCTTACATCCAAATGCTAGGAATGAACGATCTTGAGTTACAGAGGAACTCGTCTTCAGGCAGAGGTGTTCCAAGCAAAATCTACAGCTCTATACAGAGTCTCAAAATCCTTCAGGCATTTAAAGATTACCCAGAAAGTTGAAATTGGGTGCATGTGTGGTGTACAAGAAGCCTGATGACTAGTACCTCTAGAAGTGTGACGTTTTGACACTTTTCCCTAAAAAAAGGGGGAGGAGGGGGACAAGAAGGCCGGGTAACAGAAGTGGTCAGGCTAAAGAGACTGTGGTCACGGTCAGCAACTGGGATGTGAACCCAGATCCAAGACCAATTCTCTACCCTCTAAACCAGGGGTGTCAAACATGCGGCCCGTGGGCCGGATTAGGCCCCCAGAAGGCTTCTATCAGGCCCGCAGTGGAACTGGCTGTCTTCTGCTGCTTCTTCCAGTTCTGCTGCTGCTGCTGTGTCATCGTAGGTTTGCAGCTTACAGATAACACAACTGAACAGCATACTCAAGATTGCAACAGCACAGACATTTTGATGCAATAATTCAGAGCAAGAGGTGTCAGTTATCAGACACTGTTAAATAAACAAAATTTTGCAGGAGTGCTAATGTTTTAAGCATGTGTCCTTTATAAAGTTTATATCTCCGCTACCTGGCATTACATTTTATGACACACATGGCCCGGCCCAACAAGGTCTCATTTATGTCAGATCCGGCCCTCATAACAAATGAGTTCGACACCCCTGCTCTAAACCATACAAGCTGTGAGGGGTTTGGATGTGAACCCAAATCCTACAAAATTTCAATTTATAGCTGCAATCGTGGTGCAGATATTTTACCAAGTAAGAGGAGCCCACTAACTTTACATTAATACTAATTCAAGTCATTGGTGACCTATCAACAATGTGAAAGAAAAAATTATCAGCATTTCCAATTGAAAAAAAAATCATCTAAGACCCGGGTTCGAATCCCCCCCACAGACCAATCTTATTCGCCACAGGCGAGTTAACTACTGACAAGTCGGTGTATTTGTTGCCTTTTATGGAGCTCCATCAAGCCTTAGCAACAGAAGGAAACAGAACCTCTCCCTCAGGCGGCTTAGAACAGCAAAGAAAAAGGAACTGAAAGCAAACAGAACTTTTATGTACAGAAGAAAGAAAAAAAACAGTTTTCCAGGAAGCACAAAATTTCTGCTCTTCTGGGGCAAGCTACAAAGAACTGATTTTCATTTCACTTCTCCTTTTCTTCTGTAATGCCCCTACGCTTTCCCTGAAAGGGAGAACTCGAAATGAATCACTGGAACCAGGAAGAATTAAAATGCTGTCAAGTTTGAGTTCTGCCATTATCTGATTCACCAAAGGTTGCAACCCCCCAATGTTCACTGTGAAAAAATGATTCTAGTCCAATTACAGTCCACCAATATGCTTCTTTTTTTTCTTTATTTTACGTCATGCAGTGCTGCCGGCTGCTTAAAAACAACTGCCATGTGACTACAGATTTCCCAGGTAAACAATCTGTTTCCCTCAATGCTTCGTCAGGTCGCTTTATCTGATTCGCGGCAACACATCAGACCTTCATGCAGTTGCCCAACCCTACTCCAATCAACAACATTCAACAGAAATATTACTGTTAAAACGGATGCCTGTGTGTGTGTGTGTGTGGGGGGGTCAACTGCATAAAATGGCCTATTTGGTGTAGTGGTTAAGTGCGCGGACTCTAATCTGGGAGAACCGGGTTTGATTCCCCACTCCTCCACTTGCACCTTGGGTCAGTCACAAGCTCTGGCACAGCTGTCCTTGAAAAAGAGCAGTTTCTATCAGAGCTCTCTCAGCCCCACCCACCTCACAGGGTGTCTGTTGTGGGGAGGGGAAGGGAGAGGAGTTTGTAAGCCGCTCTGAGACTCCTTCGGGTAGTGAAGGGCGGGGTATAAATCCAATCTCTTCTTCTTCTATTATATTGAAATGGCATTAAGAAACCATCGAACAAAAATAGGTAGGAAGAGCTACCATGACCTGATGAGAACCTAAAATGGAAGGAAAAGAGAGCCAGTTTGGTGTAGTGGTTAAGAGCTGAGCAGAGGACTCTAATCTGGAGAACTGGGTTTGATTCCCCACTCCTCCTCCACATGCAGCCTGCTGGGTGACCTTGGGTCATTTACAAGTTCTCTCAAGAGCAGTTCTTGCAGAGCTCTCTAAGCCCCACCTATCTCACAGGGTGCCTGGTGTGGGGAGAGGAAGGGAAGGTGATTGTAAGGTGCTCTGAGACTCCTTCGGGTAGTGAAGAAGTGGGATATAAAAACCGACCCTTCTTCTTCTTCATCGTACAAGCCTAGCTGTCACACACTGATTACATAATAACTAGGCCTTTGACTGAAGCTGAGAGCCAGGGTGGCGTAGTGGTTAAGAGCATCGGGCTCGGATAGGGAAGACCCGGGTTCGAATCCCCCCTTGTGCCATGGAAGCTCGCTGGGTGACCTTGGGCCAGTCACACTCTCTGAGCCTAACCTACCTTATAGGTTTGTTGGGAGGATGAAATGGAAAAGAGGAGAATGATGTAAGCTGCTTTGGGTCCCCACTGGGGTGAAAGGCAGGGTAAAATTTATAAAAGAAATAGAACAAACAATGAATAATGAAATATGTCGGTTTGTCTGCAACAAACCACAGCCACCTCTCAAAATTGTTTCTTAGCAGCTTCCAAACTCCCTCCAGAAGAAGAGGAGGAGGAAGAGGAGGAGATTGGATTTCTATCCCGCCCTTCACTCAGAGTCTCAGAGCTGTTTACAATCCCTTTCCCTTCCTTCCCCACAACACACACCCTGGGAGGTAGGTGGGGCTGAGAGAGCTCTTTCCAGAACTGCCCTTGAGAGAACAGCTCTGACAGAACTAGGGCTTGCCCAAGGTCATCCAGCAGCTGCATGTGGAGGAGTGGAGAATCAAACCCGGTTCTCCCAGATTACGAGTCCACGCACTTAACCATTACGCCAAACTGGCTCCTGCAACCTGACACGTGGACATTAACACTGAACAAATAAGTCACCTTGCTTTTACAAACAAACTGAAGCACTCACAGCTGGAGTCCCGACGGGGTAACGCCATGTCCTTCTTTAAGATGGGGATGCTTCTGAGCCTCAGGTACTTGAGAATTCCACTCTGTCCCACTCGCTATCTTGCGAGTCCCAGTCTTTGGGGAATGCCGCATGAATCTGGCGGCGGCTCTCTGACCCCGGAAGAGAAGGCTCCAAGCTGTCATCTCGCCGGCAGCACAGGCAGGAGAAGAGCTTGTTCCGGACCACCCTCGTGCAAAGCACAAACATAATGCAGTTGGCACCTCCTTGGAACGTGTTCCCAACGCCCTGAAAGAGAGGCAGACGGTTCTTGGGAGGCTTACCTTTGCCCAGAGGAACAAGGAGAGGCTGAAGCGGGTCCAAGTGGGAGGGAACTAGGCCAGCAGAGCCTGTCGCAGTGCAGTTCGGTCTGTGCAATCATTATTGACATAGTACTGCCAAGGATGTTAACTGACAGACGCTAAATCGGGAGTCCCCAATGTGGCGCCCAGGGCACCCACCTTTAGAAAGTCTTTAGAAAGTAGGTGGGTCCAGGTCGGGCTTTTGCCCAGCAAGGCTTCTGATTGGCTGCGCAGATTTTTTTAAACGCAGCGTGTGACTGAAGGTAAACTGCAGCAGCCATTTTGTGGCTGTCTCCGCCTCCTGTGGCAGCCATTTTGTGGTTGTGCCCACCATGCTATGTTAGACTTCCACAGGTTGGCTCAAAAAGGTCGGGGACCCCTGCTCCAGCGGACTTTACGTCTATTTTCAGACCAGGGTGGGAAGAGAGCCATAGGTAACAACAGGATGAATACGTGAATAAACGCCATTATGTACACCCAAGTCTTGTTCTGGCTGGGGGACAGGCTGAAGGCCAGATCAACTCAGCGTCCTCGTCAGAAGCCCTTTCAGAGGCTCATGGAACAAGGTATTCAAGACCCAGATCCGTCCCTGCACCCTCTTTCCTCGCCACGAACAACCCTGGCATTATGATTTTGGGACTCACGTGAAGGACCACCAGCAGTGGGTTTTGAACCGCAGGGGAGCCACAGAGAGTCAGCACAAATCGGATGGTGCTCCAGATGCGGAGAAAGATGAAGATCACGGGGATCAGGATTAATTTCTTGTCCGCTATCGAGGTTCTCGGCTGGAAAGCTGGGGTGCTCGACAAGATGGGGCGGTATTCAGAGAGTGCTGCATGCTTCAAAATGGAAGGATAAGGAGGGAAGGGTTAGAAGTGGAGTCGCTCTGTATGTCAGAGAGTGTATACAGTCCAGTAAGACGAAAAACGTAAAGAGAAATAGATTCACTTACAGAAATGCTATCGGTGAAAATAGTGTGCCCAAAAGGAAGCTTGACTCTGACCGTCTGTTATCGCCCACCAAATCAAAGGTTAGAGGATGATTTAATAACAGCAAAAGAATTAAGGAAACCCACTAGACGAAATAATTGTGTTGTAATAGGTGATTTTAACTACCCATGCATTGATAGGGTCAATATGTGTTCAAGTCAGGAGAAAGAGATAGGGTTTCTAGAAACTCTTCAACGACTGTGCCATGGAGCAGATGGTCACTGAACCTACCAGGGGGAGGCGATCCTGGACCTGGTCCTAAGTAATGCCCAAGACTAGGGGTGTGCAAACACACAAAAAAATCGAGATTTCAGAAAAAACCCAATTCCTATACTGGCATGGTATTCGGATTCGGGTGTTTTTTTTTTAATCCTGATTTTTTCCCCCAGCTCCATTATAGCCTAGGGGACCATTATAGTCAATGGGGAATCTATCTGGGGGTATCCAGAGGTTATGGGGAGTGTTTTTTGAGGTAGAGGCACCAAAATTTCAGCGTAGCTTCTGCTTCCTCTCCTCAAAACACCCCCCAACTTTAAAAAAGGTTGGACCAGGGGGTCCAATTCTATGCCCCCCCAAAAAGGTGCCCCCATCCGCTATTGTTTCCAATGATGGGGGGGGGGGGAAACAGAAAGAAAGAAAAAAGGACTGATGTCAAACCAGTGAGTCTCTTCAGTAGAAACCGAAGGGGGGATTTTTCCAAGTCTAGCACAGCCAGTGAATGTATAGAGTGCCCTGCAGCACCAGTGCATGTACAGAGTGCTCAGCAGAACCAGTGCCACTGTGGCAATGCCACCTCAACAAATCCAAGGAAGGGGGGGTTGCAAGCCCAACACAGCCAGCACATATACAGAGTGCCCAAAGAAGGTGCCCCCATCCCCTGCTGTTTTCAATGGAGGAAAAAAAGAAAGCATTTAAGGGAGGGCACCAGGTTTTCCTGGGCACTAGTACATTGCACTGGTACTGCTTGGCACTTTGTATATGCTGGGCACTCTGTACATGTACTGATTGTGCTAGGCTTAGAATCACCCGTTGCTTAGATTTGTTGAGCTGGCATTGCCACAGTGGCACTGGTTCTGCAAAGATGCCCTCCCCTTCAGTTTCTACGGCAGAGACTCTCTGGTTTGACATTAGTCTCTGCTTTTTTGCTGTATTTTCCCTCCACTGGAAATAATGAAGGATGGGAGCATCTTTCTCAGACTCCAAGAGCAAGAACTAATCCTGAGCAGAGTTTCAAAAGTGGCTCAGAGACATTTGCAGTGGACACAACTTTAAACCGACTCCAAAAAGCAAGGAGGAAGACATGTCTGGCATGAAATGTTGTGGGGGGGGGGGGGGAGAGAAAGAGATCTGGTTTCTGGCCTGCTCCACACCAACAGCTGCTCCCGCACAGAAAGCCTGCCTCATTTATAGACTGGCAATGACAGCAGCGGGCAGGCCTCGAACGCCTGCCTCTCTAGGAGTAAGGCGGAGACAAATATAGAATTGTCTGTGAAATGTCCACATACGCTTTGCAAGCAAAAAAAAAAAAAGACAAAAATCTTTACAGGAACAAACACTCTCTGCAAAATGACCACAAATGAACATCGCTTTCGTTTTATTCTGACTGCAAAATTGGAGATTTGTTCACTGGAGGGACAGACAGGGACTCCAACAGTGGGGGAGGATGTGAGACTTGCATCTCAAAAACCAGTCCTTTTTGACTGAAGTTCACTGTCAGGAAAGAGGGAATTAAAGTGACCTGCCTCACAGGATTGTGGCAAAGAACTAGATGCAGTCTCCATAGCCGTGTGGCCTGGAAACGGCGAAGCCGCAGTTGTGCATAAGGCACTAGCCAGTGCTGCTGGGACACTACAGCAAGCCGTAGTTCTGATAAGGGCTGTTCTTGAAAAAGAGCAGTTACTGTCAGAGCTCTCTCAGCCCCACCTGCCTCACAGGGTGTCTGTTATGGGGAGGGGAAAGTGAAAGGAGTTTGTAAGCCGCTCTGAGACACTTTTGGGTAGTGAAGGGCGGGGTATAAATCCAATCTCCTCCTCCTCTTCTTCTTCTTCTTTTTCGAAGGCTAACAAATTGGTGACGGGATAAGTGTTCAGGGGCTAGAGTGCCAGGACCACTCTATCAGACACATGATGCGCTTGCTGTGGTGATGTTAAAAAGCCAGTAATCTCTTCTTGTAAGAAGGATCTGTCAAACACGAGAACTGAAGGGAACGAGGGTTATGAGGAATGCTCCCTCTAAGCTGTGGCGTCTTGTGTGCAAAAATTCTACTTTGTGAGCAACTGGCATTCAAGCTGTGAGCCAGCGATTTGGCTACTGCATAAATTAGTTTGCTCTGGAGCCGTCCTTCCTGAGCTAAGACAAAAATCTGTGAGCTGGAGGCTAAAAAACTGTGAGCTAGCTCACACTAACCCAGCTTAGAGGGAACACTGGTTATGAGGAGTAAGCAGGAGTGGGATGGATACCGTTGTCTTAAAAAAGACCTTTGCAAATAAATCCACAAAACTTACTAGCAGATGATATATTTTTACTTGACTGCTTGATGAGAGACAATCATTTGCAACAGCCTAGAACCGGTGTGTCCCCCCCCCCTTTTCTTTTTCTTTGGCATTTTTTGGTATTTTTTTATATGTGCGTGCAAGTGTGTGTGCCCCTGGAAGTCAGGGTGACCTCTGGTGACTGACGGCTACTAAGGGCCTGGAGGCTATTCAGAGAAGTGGCTGGATAAAGCCTGCCCCCGCCTCCTGACTGCTGGTATTCCTTGGAGGTCTCCCGTCCAGGTACTTGCCAGAGTCAGCCCCACTGAGTTTCCAAGATCTGATGAGATGAGGCTCGCCTGGGCTATCCAAGTCAGGGCTCCCCCAAACCTTTCTGAGCCTACAAGTACCTTTGGGATGTTGAGAGGGGGTGGTCAGTGCCACCCCAAAAGGGCTGCCCAGAGGTGGACCCAAACCTAAAATGGCCACAGCAGGAGGTGGAGCCAAATGGACTATTTCCCTCGTCACACCTCCTGGGAAAAAGGAAAGCCTGAAAGGGGAATGGAACCACATGCTGACTAAAGAAAGCCCAGCTGCTTACCAGACCTCCCGACCCTCCAGTGGAAAACCCCTTTGAATGAGAGCGGCCAAGAACAAGCCTTGCCTGACAGTGGCCCGCCCACTTTCTTGTTGGGTACTGGTGGGCACCGTGGGTTCTGTGGGCACCATGTTGGAAAACCCTGGCCTAGCCAAAAGGAGAAGAATCAAAAACTCCCCTCTTTCGGATTTACAAAAGAGCCTCTCTGCTTGAGTGCCTGAAGGAAACACACGTTCATAGAATCATAGAGTCACAGAGCTGGAAGGGGTCCTACAGGCCATCTAGTTCAACCGCCTGCTCAATGCAGGACCAGCCTAGAGCAGTGTTCCCTCTAAGCTGAGTTAGTGTGAGCTAGCTCACAGTTTTTCAGCCTCTGGCTCACACATTTTTTGTCTTAGCTCATGAAGGATGGCTTCAGAGCAGACTAATTTATGCAGTAGCCAAAATCGCTCACTCACAACTCTAATGCCAGCAGCTCACAAAGTAGAATTTTTGTTCACAACTACGGCTTAGAGGGAACATTGGCCTAGAGCATCCCTGACCCGTGTCAGATTCACCGCTCGGCCACCAAGAATCCCATCCCTGTCTGGCAAAGGAAGAGGCACTCGAATACCAACCGCTCGATTGATGTGCTTCCTTATAAGGATGTAGAAGACGGGCAAAATCACGTAGGCCAGGATCTCCCATAGCTTCCCTCCTAGTAGCATCCAAAGGACCCGATCCTCCGCCCTGAGGTCAATCCAACACCAGCCGACAGAGACGTCGGAGGCATCGTATCCGATCTTCTTCAGGACAACAGCCGCCACCGTGATGCCAAGGGGAACTCCCCAGCTGAGGACGGAGAAGCAGATGAGAAAGGGCCGGTAAAGGAAAAGGGGTTCCCCCCCCCCCCCCCACAAACACACAGATACCAGAAGCTCCCCCTTCACAAGACCATCTCTGCATCTAGAGACGCGGCGACGCAGCACGGCCGGAGCCAATTAGACAGAGGCCAGTGCAGCAGTCATCGCACAGTCGCGGACTATGGAACCAACCCAGAAGGAGCCACTGCGGAGCCGCGCCGAGATAGAACCCACCACGAAAGCCGCAGGAAGAAGAAAGAACAAGCCGGCAGGGTGCCTGGTAGGCACTCACCTCCCCTATATACATTGTGGCCCTAGATAGGAAGTATAATGTATGCCTATGTAAACCGCTCAGAGCCTCCGGGATTGAGCGGTATAGAAATTGAATAAATAAATATCTAGTAAGAATATCAAGACAATTTTGACACTCTCTCCTCACTAACGGAGGGCCATTGTCTCAGTGGTAAAGCGTGTGGGTTTATGTACAAAACTCCAACATCTCCAGTTGGGAGATTCTTGGGGAAAGGTCTCTGTCTGCCATAAACCCTGGAAAGCGATGCTCCCTCTAAGCTGCGGGGCCTTGTGAGTGAAAATTCTACTTGGTGAGCTACTGGCATTAAAGTTGAGAGCGAGGGATTGGGCTGCTGCATCAATGAGTTTGCTCTGGAGCCCTCCTCCCTGAGCCGAGACAAAAATGTGTGAGCCGGAGGCTGAAAAACTGTGAGCTAGCTCGCACTAACTCCTCTTAGAGGGAAGACTGCTAGAGGGCCACTACCCATCTGAGTAGACAAGACTGACCTCGAAGGCCTTCATTCAGTCCAAGGCAGCTTTATGTGTCCATTTCAAATTTACGACGTTTCCTTGCCTGGTCGCCCACAGGTAATTTTTTACTCACCCAAGGGACCAGATGTTATTTACAAGTCTGGCTCACAGGCAGGGGTCATTTCCTGCGGGAGCGCACAGGAGCAGAGCTCCGGCAGTAAAGAGCCCAGGGGGCGGGCACATGCGACAAGCCCCACCCCCTGCTCCCAGCAGCCCTCAGTCAGAGCAGGAAGCAGCCAGGTAAATTGCAGAGCTTCCCCCAGTCCAAAACAGTCCAGTGGCACCTTTAAGACCAAGTTTTATTCAGGTACAAGCTCTCCCTCCTCTGCGAGGACAGATCTGCACGCTCCCCCCCCCAATAGCTAGAGTCCAGTGGAGCCTGAGCGGTGGGTGTTGCCTTCTGACACACTTCCGGTGATGTCAGGGGGTGTAGCACATGCAAATGAGTTATGCTAATGAGTTATGCTAATGAGCTCCTGCACCTCTTTTTCTACGAAATGACCCCTGTTCACAGTTTACCACCAGCCCCTGAAACTGTGTGCAGAAGATATGGGGAAACGAGAGAGTCACCCTATTCACTTATATACTGGATTTATTAATCGCCCAATCCCTGCTATTGCCAGGCTCTGGGCGATGGACAGTATCCATAAAACACAACCAGATAAAATCATTAAAACATTAATCCTGGGTGGAAACATGCCAGTAAAACACACCTGGATCTTCAAGGAGTGGCTTCTACAGCTCCCACAAGTCACCCTATAGAGGACTTGGGAAAGGATTCACAACTTCCCGCCTCCACTGGAGTATTTTCAGAGTTAGAGGAGAGGTTATCAGAGGACAACCCTGGGCGGACAGTTGCGTAAGGGTGACATGACAGCCCCAACGAGACACAAACACCACACAAACACCGATACCAGCTTCTTATCACTCCGCGGGCTGGAGATTCCAGAGCCTGAGGTGAAAGGATTTGGCCCCAAAGCACGAAAAACAGGCTCGGCAGGGGTTTCCGCTAACGGTACAGGCCGAGACCAGTTTCACACTGGTTCGAACTGTCTGTCGGCTTCCCCCAGAGAGCTATAATAATGCTGCAGAGACTGTCAAGAACAGTGTTGTTAGCAATCACCTCAGTCACCTAAAATTCCCAGCGTCCCACAGTTGAAAGCACCGACACCTAAAAGGGCAGGAAATGACTGACGGCTGTAGGAGAGGCAGGTAAATCAACCCAAAGGTGGGCTGATCAGCTGCAAGACCAAGGATGCCCACAGACACCTTTCCTGGTACTCACCAAGTGTTTTTAGAAACTGTGTGGCACGCATGCGGGGGGGGGGGGGGGCGTTTGCCCAGCCCGGTTCTAACTGGCTGTGCAGATTAAAAGGCCTCTTGTTAAACACAGCTTTGGCCTAAAGCAGGGGTGTCAAACAGATCAGGCCCCCGGAGGGCTTCTATCAGGCCCGCAGTGGAACTAGTTGTCTTCTGCTGCTTCTTCCAGTTCTGCTGCTGCTGCGTCATCGTAGGTTTGCAGCTTACAGATACACACCTGAACAGCACCCTCAAGACTGCAACAGCACAGACATTTTGATGCAGTAATTCAGAGCAAGGGGTGTCAGTTATCAGACACTGGTTTTTTTTAATATAATTTTTTATTTTTTATATTCACAACAAATAACTTACAGATTGATATAGATCTGAGCAATGCAAATTAACAGTTAAAGATTATACATCTTCAAAATAAGAGGAATGCTTTCAATAGCAGGTATGAACATTATTATCAATCCTTCCATTATTAAGATAACGTACTGTAAGTAAATGAAACCACAATTTTAACTATCAACTTTTAATTAAAAAGATTGATATACATTTATATAATGACACAGCACTCATACAACTTTAAATCCTAAAATATACACTTCAACGACACTGTTAAATAAACAAAACATTGCAAGAGTGCTAATCTTTTAAGCATGTTTTTATTTTAAGTTAAAAAAACACCCTTTGTGTTTGTGTCCTTTATAAAGTTTATATCCCCGCTACCTGGCATTACATTTTATGACACACATGGCCCGGCCCAACAAGGTCTCATTTATGTCAGATCTGGCCCTCATAACAAATGAGTTCGTCACCCCTGGCCTAAAGTGTTGGAAGGGGTACTATTAGTTATATGTAGCCTCACTCCCTGACATTTTGTGGTCGGCTCCCCTCCTGCGACAGTCATTTTGTGCCCACCGCCATGTGTCAGAGTTCCAAAGGTTCCTGCAGGCTGAAAAAGGCTGAAACTCCCTCTTCTAGATTAACACACCTGACGGTGGAACAGCCCCCTACCAGACTGTTCTCTGGGCAACCTCTCACTTGGAACAGTCAAATATTCTGAACTTCAGCTAGTTTTGTTCAGCTTTGCCACGGAGCTATGAATAGCACCCGGTCACAAGAAAAAAGGGCGACTGCCACACCGCAGGGGACCCGTCGTATCGTCTTTCACTCCGCGTCTGTCTGCCGGCCTCAGGAGTTTCACGGCCGCATCTCTGTTCCAGGAGGCAGCCTCTGTCAACGGCAGAGCTCTCTCCTTTAGGCACGCAAATGCTGTTGGGGTTTGAAGGAGCAGCTGAAGAATACAGAAGAAACCCTGACGTTGGAGCGAGGCAGCTGCAGCCCTGCTTGTTTCCTATTTTTGAGCCAGACGTCTTCCTCCAACAACTGACGGTGAATCGGCGCTCTATATATTCTGTGACTGCACCATGCAGCTTCAACAGCTGTTGCTGGATCCAGACTTCCTCATGCTGAGAAGCCTAGCTTTCGTTTTGTTTTTTTTATAAATCAAGGTTCTAGATTTCAGAACTACAAACGCAAAGGTGAAAACACATGTGGGCAATTATCAGACGTTCCCCTCCCCAAAGAGGTCCAGCTAAGGCATCCAGCAGTTGGGGTGGAGCAGGGCTCTTGTGCCTACCATAACCTTTGACCCCTGCCTGTGCCCAGAATCTCAGTGCACTACGCGAAGTAAACAGAGATTGAGCCAAGTAGCTCGATTGCTCAACCACACCCAATGCAGAGATACGATAGAATTACTTCTCTAGCAGAAGCCAATTTGAAAAGCGGCAAGGCCAGAGCAGGGAATCATGCAAAGACACAGCAGACAAGACCAGAGCAGGGAATCATGCAGAGAAACAGTAGGCAGCCTCCTTTGCAGATAAGGATTTGGGGATTACAGACTGTAGAAAGGAACGGGCTCTCTGTGCATGCACAGAGTTCCCTCTACATGCATTCGAAGAGTTCAGCCAGAAGAAAAAGAGAAGAAGAGATTTGATTTATCCCCCGCCCTTCACTACCCAAGGGAGTCTCAGAGCGGCTTACAAACTCCTTTCCCTTCCCCTCCCCTCCCCACAACAGACACCCTGGGAAGTAGGTGGGGCTGAGAGAGCTCTTGACAGAAACTGCTCTTTTTCAAGAACAGCTCTTATCAGAACTACGGCTTGCCCAAGGTCATCCAGCCAGGTGCAAGTGGAGGAGTGGGGAATCAAACCCAGTTCTCCCAGATTAGAGTCCGTGCACTTAACCACTACACCAAACTGGCTCTCAACCCAGTGTTCAAAGCCACAGGTTCAACACAGTGTTCAAAGCCACTGGTTCCAGGATCAAGCACTTGACCAGCTTCACCCCTGTTGATGCGCCTGTGGTGTGTTTGCACAGCTAACCGAAGAACAAACGGCCCGATATTTACATTCCCACTCAGTGTGGTGAACCAAGAGCCCTCCCAACACTCCTGTAACAAAACCCAACACTGCAAAATGCTGCTCACACACGCCAGCTGCTAGTTGATGTTCGTGGCACTTTTTTTTTTTTTTGGAAACACACCTTCCGCACCGGAGAATCCCTTGCACCCCAAATCCCTCCCCCACACAAAGAGCCCTAATCCGCTTAATAACGAGATTAGCCCACAGCGTTCTGTACAGAACGGTACTTCAAATCCGCACTGACCAGCACCGCTTGGAGATGCTCCAACTGCCCCTAATTCAACAGGCACAGTCCTTGCTTCCTGGTGGTGGTGGTAGGGGGGAGAAAATGGCTGTTGCTCTTCTGCCACTGAAAAAAAGGCCAGACAAGAAGGTGCATGTGGCAAGGGGCCCCCAATGTAGTCCCGGACAACAGTTTCCCTGGTACCTGCCAAGTGTT